CTTGAAGGATGTTGTACGTTTTGCTGAAGCTAACGCACAGCAATCTGATGATTTATACCTATATTTAAACATAATTTGTTATACTTGGTGCCAAGCCACTTCTGTGCCATGCCCGCTTCTTCCACCCCAGAGCACCTTTGCGTGCTTGGGGCGAACTATGCCTCACTCACACACACCCACAGGATCCGCCTGCGGATCCTGCGGACCGAGGTGGGACTGGTGGCTAAGAAATGGATGCTGGGAGATCAAGCAGGGCTCAAGATGCAGGTCTACCAGGCCGACCGACACATGGGCGGATTTGCATGGGACATGGGCAAGACTTCTGCCATACGTGGAGCCTCGGTTGGTGACTCTGAATGGCTGGTCCAGTTGCTCATGCACCCCTCCCAACCATCCATGCCTGCAAATGTCATTGGGACACTTCTAATCCTTTGGATTCTTCAAAAAGCTCATAGATTTCAGTTCTACCAACCGCCTTGCCACAAAAGCCTCGCCTCGTCCCAATCGCCATGGATCGCGGCGTCGCGTCTTGCAGGTTTGGTCCAAGTGGGCCTTGAAGCGGGCCGAGGCGCGCCTCGCTCCGACTCTTCACCGCTGCAATCGGGCGATGGCGGCCCCGAGCGCGTGTCGACACGTGTGTCGACACGAATGGGTGGGGTATGAGCTGGGGTCCGTTTATGAGCTGTGTCGACACATGTTTAATCTTACGTACTATATATTTTATTTTGTATACAGTAGTGAAGGATGAACAGAAGCTGTCATTGCAACAGTAAAGTAAATTGTCTGAGTTTTTTTATATTCAACGGTTTCAGCAATTTTTTGCATCATTGTGGTTCCTACATCTTCTCTTCCTAGCCATGGCCATGCGCATCACTTTTGAACTATATATATATATATATAGGCTGTCTCCCAAATCGATGCCGCCCCGCGTCCAGTCTGAAAAGAAGCTTGCATCGGTGCACATGTCTTTGGCCAAGTGGGCCACAGCCTTAGCTCGGTGCACATGTCAGGCTGTCAGTCCATGCTTATAATACAATTGGTACTGTATACCCAAATATAACGGTCCATTCACCTCCTTGATCCGTTCAAATTGCTTGTTCTCTTGATGAGTCATCACCGTGTCATCTCGCTTGCATGGCCTGGATGAAGCCGCGGAGCTGCGGAAGAACTGTCTCCACGCAGAGGCTCTCGACGTCGGCTTGCTCGCTGGCGTGTTTCGGATAATTCGTTCCGGTTTGATTGAATTGTTTTTGTTTGAATCAATCTGAGTTTTCCAAGACATGTTACAGTTTTCGGCAAGTACGGCAGAAGACCACAAGAGCCAAGAAGCAACACATCGTAAAGCACCAAGAGGTCGGTGCTGACACCTCCCTAAGGCTCGTGGTGATGCCAAAGGAGTGGGGCAGCCCAGTGGACGTTCGACCTTTTTGCTCATGAATGGTGCTGTTCGGAATGGACCTGCTCAATCAACCTGCTCAATTCATCCCACTTACTTTGAGAGTTCCACAGCTGGAGAGGGGGTTCTTGGAGCATACAGCTGCATGGGACAGAACCTACCATCACCTATCCCAGGTTCTGGTGTGGTACTGCCCCAGCGGCAAGGAAAGGGGGTGTCGCCGACTCCGTCAGCAGAGTGCCGGAGTCTTCCTGGCACCGAATTCGCCGACGGGCCCGAGCGGACTGTATACGAGATTTTCCTGGATTTGGTGACCAGGATGCTGTCAAAACCAATGCCAGTATGTTCATATTGATTTCATATGTCTTCTTTGCAAGACAAACGTACCCTTGGTCTAAGAAGAGGTCGGGGCCGGGTTGGTTGTTTTTTCGTCCAACTGAGGGCCCGTGGCCTCTTCTGTATAATATATATATAGCTATACAATGCTGTATGAAATCAGACGAATATCATCTCGCTCGAAGGAACAAGAAGTGGCTGTCCGCAGGTTTTCCCATGGCAGCCTTCCGGATACCAACACTATTTTTTGCAAGAACCATCAGTTCATTATTTGAGGATGTGGACATGCAATATTGAAGTAAGACGTCACAAGTCACAAGAAACATATTGGAATCGATCCTGTTCCTACATCGACGATATCGAAACCACCATCTATGAGCAATATACATGCCGAGGTCAGTTTTTGGGATCCCATCAATAGACTGTAGACCTTCTCATGTCGTCTCCACCCCAACAAAGACCGCGCGGCTTCCAACACCGACCACCGCGCCGTTGTTCACACCCCCGTGCCCCGCTGAGATTCTCACCACGGTCTTCGTGAACTGGAAACAGGATGCCCTGACGGCGGCCGGGGACCGTAAGATGGAGGCGGGTCGCGGCCAGGGGCGAAGAGGGGTGTGAAGATCCCAAAGAGGCAGGGATTGAAGATGTGAGCAAGGGGCAGCAAGGGTGTTTCGGAAGATTTCCGAAGGGGGTCAAGACTCAAGAGAGGCCAAGGTACTGAGCAAGGGTCGACCTTTTGAACCCTTGGAAATTCTAGAAGTGATCCCAACCTGAGGTCATCCTTTCATGGGATGATTTGTTCCATCTGCCCTGTCGCAAACCGCTGCCACATCGTTGGTTGTCGGGAAACTGCCAGGCGGCGCTGGATGCTGAAAAGGCCAAGATGGAGCGACTTTTTGCAGCTCGGCCTGCTTGGCAGCGCGTGGAACTGCCAAGGTTGAAGGGGTTCAAAGGCATTCTGCTATTGGTTGACAGGGAACAATGTGGGGGATTGTAGCGGAATATGAATGTCCTTCAATTCCTTCTTGGACTCTCATCTCAGAAGGTATAATGTGGACGGTGGACTACAGTGACTACTTAACTACAGTACCTGGAATTTCTAAAGGTGATAAATGGTGATAAGGTGATTGGTGATTTGTTGTTTGTTTGCTACTGGCAATGTGGATGATCTCAGGGAGTCTTTTTCCGAGATCTCTCCATCAACTGCAAGCCTCCAAAAAAAGGGGCGAGATGCGATCAACGAGCAGTTTTTCAAGCACCGACCAGGCACCTGAGAGGCTGTGTGAGACCCCGCCAAAAAACACTCTGGCAGATCCACACCTCCTTCCCTCAGCTCATCGCAGCCCGCCAGCCCGACGCCACGCCGCCGTCCGCCCCGACCGCCGGCGACCGCCGAAGCGTCCGTTTTGAAAGGAGCTAGGTTTGTAGCGTTTTTGCTACTTGTAGCGATGCCCTTGTTACTAGTAGCTTCTTGTTCCTAGTAGTGATGGCCTCCAACAAATAATGGATATACAAAATTATAAATAGATAGACTAGAATTAAAGAAGCAAACCTAATAGGGATGTCCTCCACCGTGCATAGCTTCTTGTTCCCAGTAGGCCAGGAGCTACGTTCGTCGCGTCCGTTTTGGGCCGAACAGGAAGAGGAGCGGCGCCGCGCGGCCGCCCAGACCCGACCGTCTCGACCGCCGGTTGGGATCCAGCGGACTGGAGAAGATGGGCCAAGAAATCCCAAGATCTGATTTTCTGGGTGATGACATGTGATGGCAATGGTTTGATGTGTTTGTTCCTTATCTTTTTGGGTTTGTTTTTTACATGTATTTTTAGAGGTTTACGGTGTGCCCTGAGGTGTTCGGTGAATGAGTTTGCAAACCGCAGCTCCCACACCCAGATCCAATGAACAAGTTGTCAACACGGAAGGGGCTGGAGATGTGTGAAAGGACACCGGAGTATTCCTTACCGACACTGAGCTGAGCTTTGGTGATTGTTTGTGTCAGAACCCCATGTGTGTGGAGTCGGCCAAGGTATTCAGTATTCAAGCCGTTCAAAACGGTGCCATTGCATTTTCTCGGGACTTGCAGGGTCCTGGGCGTTTTTTTCTTTTTAAACGAACTGATTCCTGCTGATATGCACTGCGTAGGCTCCGAAGAGAATGCCAACAAGTTCAAGAATGAGGCTGCGTTTGTCGTGTTTTCCTGTAAAGGGGCACATCTGCGAAGACAATGATTTCTTGCGTTGATAGAGACCAGCGCAACAACATAATTTTCAACAGCCAGTTGCTTGTGATTTATTTGTTCTATAATATGTAAAAGGCTCCATGCACCACAGGACATAGAGTACGTAGAATAGGTAAGTATCCGTGACAAACTTGCTTCTACCAGTGTGCTTTGTGGTAGCTGGAGAAACATGAGGCTCCAGACTCTAAACCACTCTATCTTGTCTTTCTTGAGAGCTCTTTGTGATTAGCGTCCACTTGCTAGCTTCACCGACTGGCTCTTGGATTTGCTCCCCATGGGGAATTCATAGCTGCCGTCCGACCGCTCAGCGCATGTTAGCCGCATCATCAACCACACCTAGGGCTTCCATGGACGAGAGTTGAGAAGGGTACTCGGACCCAAAAAGGCCTCTTCACCGAGGGGTTCTGGTCCAAGTCTTACGCCAGTTCTTCCCCCAAACACATCCCACCTGATGTTGAAGGACAACACTTTCGTTGGATGTTGCTTGCTGGCTCCAAGAAATCCACTTCTGCGCCAAGCCCAAGCTGAAGCCATTGATCACGTATACGGCTGACCGGATGCTGACTGGATGAGATCTCATTGAACATTCTCAGGTTCAGTGAGACTGGAGTATGGCGGCCATATCTAGTAATTATCTTATTATGATGTCATAAAATGTCATATATACATGACATGTTCTCCGATGTTCTCTGTACCGTATTTAGTTGATTCAAAACATTGATTGACACCGTCTTTTCGGATGACAAAAATGCGACGAAGTTCTTCGAGGTGGGATGCATCGGTATGCAGCTGACACACAGCAACCTGCCTGACATACCTCCATTATTTATGCATTCCCTTAAACGCATTGACATGAACAGGAGGATAGGAAGCTTTAAGAAACGTCCCAGTTGCAGGGAAGACTGCTTTCAAACAAAAGTCATATTAGTCCCAGTAATTATTAGTCCTCCCGATCATTGTAGCCTGCGACAGAAACCTGCGACTGGCACTTCATGGATCATCCCTCCGTTCTGCACCCTAGACGACCCTGCCAAGTTGCTTCTCGCCCCCTCGCAGCCTTCGAACTCGCGGCCGCTGGGGGAGACCCGTCGCTGCCATGGGCGCGCGCTGTGCCGTGGCGATGGCCAGCGTGGCCAGCGTGGCCAGCGTGGCCAGCGTGGCCTGCGGCGCGGAGGCGAAAAGTGCGGGTTCCGGTGCGAGGTCGGGTGAAGAGAACGGTCACAGAACGGACGAGTCCGTTCACCTCATTCAAGTGGTAGCTGAGACGAAGCCTGAGTACACGAAACCAGGGTTTGGGAACTGACAGCTCTGCAGTCTCCCTGCAGAGTTGATTTGTCTGCAGACCTTATTCCAGATCGCAGACAGGTCTCACCCTTCAGCTGAGCAGCTGAGAAGTCGTTGTGCATGTTCTTGGCAATTGCTGCATTTGCATGGATTAATCTTCCAAAGGCAAGGCCCAGAAGGTCCAGAAAGGACAATGCTAGCTTTTTGGCGAACATCTACTTCGACTCTTCTTCTGGTATGCTTACTGCCAATTCCTTCCTTGCAGAAGATCAGAATGGTCAGGTCAACCAAGTTGTTTGGGGTGCGTCCGTCCATCGAACAAGTTGGAGACCCGGGAGAGAATGCATTGCCTTCTGTCAAGTGTTCTACGCCTTTTTGGGTTGTTGAGTCCAACAGTTTTATATAGTCTTACAAAAATACACATGGTATATATATATATATATGTAGCTTGGCCCGGCGGATCCAAGCAGCAATTCTTGTAGCACAGGCTTGCCACAGTCACAAAATGCATCAGGCAGGACTTCTAGGTGTGTCTCACCCCAAATAGGCACCTCAAAAGCCGATGCCGCTTGTGTGCAGGAGACGTCTGCCTACCTCTACAGCCAGGCCTGGTGACCATTCACGAAAGGTAGCTTGAGCTACCTGAGTTCTCCTTGCTTTAGCAAAAATGTATTACAATCAGGAGTTGGGATTGTGCATTGAATTTGGTCCTGTAAGAAATGATTCTATTCGTCGGGGGGGGGGCCCCCCTGGATCAAATCCCCCCCGGCGCCGGTTCACGCCGTCATGGACTTCTACCAGGGTTACTGGTGATTGCCTGCTACCTTTCGTTCACCCCCTCCTCTCTCAAGTTCAGAGGATGTGAGAGTGAGTATTTCAACATTAATTTTTGGCCTGCTTGTCCATTGACAAGCCATTTTGACACATTTGTGTGGTCTGCGGGGCATTCTGATGGGATTTTGGGGAGTGACACATGTAGACAGAATCATCTGTACTTGCTTGAATATTTCCGAGTCTGAGAGGCCATTCCGACCAAATGGGCTCCCGGGGGCACATGCCTGGCTGGTTCAGCCAGGTCTATGCTGCGAAGCGAAGTGTCGCTTGGCATCCAAACCACCATGGTTAGTCATAAGCCGATGCTCAGGATGAGAGATTCGGCAGGTCATGAGAGATTCGGCTGTGCTGCTTCTGTTTTGGGCCTCTAAGGTTAATTTGGGAGGCTGTCAACAAATTATCTATGGCCATCAGACGCGTCCAAGTGAAGTTTATCAAGTCTCAGACTGTTTGCTGCTTCTGTGACCCTTGTTTGAAATGATGTATTTTTCGAAGGATAGAGAAAGGCAATGATTTGATGCAACTGTGAATGCTTTGTGAAGCAGACAGGGAAGGTTGCTGTAAGATAGGTGTAGGAACAGTGGAACCGGTGCCTGTGATCTCCAGATCCGAAACCGACTTGGTGAGCGGCCTGCATTCCGGATGACCTTGGGCTTGACGTGTAACAAGAAGCTACTAGGAACAAGGTGCATCGCTATTAGTAGTTAATTTGCTACTAGTAACAAGATGTAACAAGAAGCTACTATATAGTAGTACTTATTTGCTACTATAGTATATTGCGATACATAGACAACTTGAATGGGACTTTAACTGGATTATGGCAAGGTATTGCACGCCGGTTGGGACAAGTGGACGGAACGAACTATTTTACATATGAAGGAATGCATCCAGTGAAGTGTGGTGTACTTGAGCCTCCGCGGACTCTTCTGTAGAACAATAATAAAAACTGCCCTCAGAATCCTTGGAATTTGCATAATTAGCAAAGGTCGAGCCCTCCTGTTCGCAGGGGTTTGTACATGTACCCTCACTTTACTTAGTGCATCGAATTTCTTTTCTCAAGGCCCTCCTGTGCCTCATTGTGCCTCCCTATACCCTGCCCCCTTAGCCTGACCGGAACATTCCGCACCAACCTCTGCCCGAAGCCGAGGGATTGGGGGTTTACATGGGGTTTACCCTAAAAAACCATAAACAAACACCTAGCTAGACAGTTCGTTGAACCTTTGACATTTCGACCCCTCAAAAAACCGACGAAGCGTCGACCCGCCCCACTAGATGACCGACGAATTCGAGGACTACTACCTCCGTCGAGGCCACGCCTTCGACTGGGATGAGCACGAGTGCCACGCCTTCTTGGCCTCTCGGTGTCGCCAACCCCGAGGGGTGGAAATGGAATTAACCTTCAAGAGGGTCAGCCAACCCTGATCCGCAGGTCCAGCGAACGCACCGACGAATCTTCCCAAACAATGTCCAGCTCGGGGGTCAGTTCTGGTGTACACCGTACACCGTTTTCTCGTCGGGCGGAGCTGGGGGCGTGACATGGCATGCTCAGGGTCGCAGCGACCACAGGAGAGTTTTGGGGGGAGGAGATTGGAAGGAGATCGGACATGGGCTTCCACAGGCTTCTTGAAAAGAAACAAGACAGGCTTCTGGAATAGAACATGTTGACAGGCTTGAGAAAGACAGTGGTTGTATCATGTTGTCTCCGATCCGAGAAACCCTGGTCGTGTGACACCGTGTTGGACGAACTGGCAAGCTGAAGTAGTGTCACTCTCATGGATAGTCATGGCACTGGTATCGCTGGAGTGAATGGCCGAAGAGCAAGTTCCTCCAGAGCTCATGCCCAAGTGATAATCACCCAACACAAGTCAGCATGACAGCCGGTGTTGGTTCCACTAGATGAGTCATTTTTCCAGACCAGGGAGAGGTGTGGCGTCCTCTGCTGTCAATAGAATGAAGTCGAAGTCAATTCTTCAGCGCGTTGACTTCCTTCCCCCTTGCGCCAGCAACCTGGCAGAGAGCCAACCTGGAATACTGTGGGCTCACATGAGCGCCCAACCAATTTCTTTTTTTCAATGTCCCTTCTTCCAGGGGGTCGAACTGGGAGGTCTCCCTGGTTGAATTACACATGCGCCAAGGCGCTTTTCTTTTTTCTCTCATGGTTTTTCCTCTGCGGTTTTCGAGACGCAGCGTGCCCTGGCGCATTTAGGACGCCGCGGTGGAGATCAGTTCCAGCAATGCTTCTGCATCCCGGATGTCGGCTCATTGGAGGGCCTTTCGTGGAGTTGTTTCCCGATGAAAACATATGAAAACAATGACTCATGTGTGTGGAAATGGACACGGGTTTCTTGGAGAAAAACAACGAGGAGGTGAACTCCACTTCCATGTGGCCATGTGGTGGTGTGTTCGTCGGAGTCGTTTGAACCGGAAGGATGAGAAGCAGCGGAGCGGAGCTGTGCGAGTCCTGTGGTGTTATTGGGCGAGTCCTGTGGTCTCAAAGGAGAATCACCCGGCCTATTCTTTTTATGATTCCATTTTGTTCAGCTCCAGCATGTATGCATCCAGCAAACACAAAACCCACAGACATCCACAGACGTATATCCATTCCATATTCTTTGGCTGCAAGACAAGTTTTCACAGTCCCTTGCAACACCTTGCCATGTTCCTGCCATGTGTGATTCATTTGACTGACAATCAAGAAAATGTTTCTTGCAAACAGCGTCCAATTGACCTCAGTGAAGGGGTAAGACTGAAAGAAAACAGCCACTGCATTGTGCAGCCGTATCGTCTATCGTTACATGACTCACACAGAAGGTTCAACACTCCATTCAGCAATTGGCTCCAAGCGTCACCAAGGAGGACTTGAATTTCTGGCCTCTTCCAACCTCCAAGAAGGGTGGCAGAACATGACATCGATCCGACTTCATCGTGATGAACTTCACCCCGTTCGTCGCCCACTCCTCCCGACTCGACCGATCCCAGGTCCTGGAACGAGCGGAGGCCCGTGGATGCAACTTTCAGGTGCGAGCATCGGACGGGATGGCGACGGGATGGCGACGGCCCCGGGCCCGGCGATTCTTTTGAGAAATCTGATGTTGGAGTGGTTTGTTTCTTGGCTCAGTGGGCTCAGTGGCGTTGGATGACAGGGCCCGAAATGCCTTGGGGTGATCATGTGTTGACAAGAACGGTCTCCAGTCTAGAGTCTAGAGGTATCTCAGCTGCGCCAATGTGTGGCACACCCCCTGCAAACGAACCTCATGCAGTTTGCTTTCGGGAGTTATAAAGCCACATTGCAATACAGCCAATATGCAAGATGTTCCTTTAAATTCAGGATAACATCAAATCCAGTGGTCCAGACATGTTTCCCTATTGCAAGCTCTGACTCGTTTTCTTCGTTCGTTCGCGTTCTGGTGTTGACCAGCCCGATGGCAACGGCCGCACGCGTGAGGCCAGTGCCTCGAGCAGCTCTGTTCCCACCGAGTTGCAGATCGGCAACTGGGCGTTGGAGTGGAGGTCTGGACTTGAGGCTTCCAAGAAGAAACACTATGAACACTCTTTTACCATACTTGTTTCATCTATGTATATACAATATTATGTTATTCTTTTTTTCCAATAGACAAGATGGTGTGGTGAACTGGTAATGCCAAACAAGAACCCCCGAGAACGGCAGGCAGCACTCTGGAGGATCTTTCCATGGGTGTTCCCCCTACAGTACTACAGCACTCTCTCATTTTAAAGAGGTTTTGGGCATCCACGCGAAGCTGTTTCAAGCAGTACTCAGTTTGTCTTTGTGTCACTGGTGCAGTCTTCCAACCGGCCACTGCCGGAGCCCCACGTGAGGTGAACACGGAGAACACTCGGTCGGGTGGATCAAGCCTCCAAAGCCAGGTCTGGAGTGGCCAGAGGTCGTCCACATGGGGTATGCTTTTGGTGGTTTGAAGTCCCCCACGGTTAGTTGATGTTTGGTTCTGTAGAGGCTAGGGCAATCTGCAAAGCGGATCTACTATCAAGTTCATTCAAGTGCTGTGGATTTGTTTAAAGGACATGAAGCTAATGCATTGGAGAGTCGGAGGTCAATAGATCCTTTAGGATCCTTTAGGTACATTTTGCCGTTGAGGCAGTTTCCCACACTTTGCCCTCTCATCGATACCAACGTGGCTACCTTACGCAGCTTATGGCAACAGCGGCTGCCACTCTTCCCACTCGCAAGCCTGCGTCAAGCTGGTCAATCATTTTCCCTGATTGTTGGGATTGATGCTTAATCCTTCTTGACAACACCATACATGGTGGCCTCATTGATTGAGACTTTCACAAGAGGGTCGTGGGTACCCTTGTGATAAGTAGATCAAGGCACCTTGTAACATTGTGCTGTAGCTATTGCTAAGAGTTTGAAGTCCACACAGCCTTTTTGTTTACAACATCAGGAAATCATATGAAATAATCATAACTACACAAGCTCCCTCCAACAAACAAGTCGCCAAACTGGTAGAGGCAAGGAAGTCCTCATCTCCCTGAACTGCCTCAGGCTGTGCTTATTTGGTTGGGCTAGCACCACACTCCCTGAAATCATCAGGGAAGTGGAGTTCACCACCTGTTCGCTATGCGGAAAATGGGCATCCTTTCGGGGCCATGCCATCCACTTCAGTTTGTTATTTTGTTGTCTTTCAACAAGAAGCTACAGTAACAAGTGCATCGCCACGTTCGTAACAGGGGCACTACTAGTAGCAAGAAGCTACGAACGGAGCCATGTACTTGTTACTCGTCATCTCCCAAACGGCCGAGGCCCCGTGCGCCGCTGGCGCTCCGCGCGCTCCGCAGCGCCCAGCTCCGTTGGGCAAAGCAGGACCGCTGGGCATGCGGACCGTGGTCCAAGCCCACCGAAGTGGGTCGAAGCTGGTTGAAGTTAAGTGGGTTCACGCCAACCGTAGTGGTTCAGGGTCTAAGCCGCCTGAATCAGATCTAAGATGACCGAAGAGGGTGTAAGCTGACTGAAATTAGTTTAATTTGCTTGAAGTTAAGTGGGTCTTAGCCGCCTTAGCCGACTGAAGTGCAAGTGGATCCCTCTCAGACCCCTGGGCTGGTGTAGCGATGGGACTGACTTGAATCAATTGGACACCCATCTTCAAAGAAACCGCCCCTAGGTTCTGAATGTTCACGTATACCGTATACAGAATGCATACATCATTGGCCACTGGTAGGGACCATTGTGGTGAACCAATCTTGAAGAAGGGCACCGCATTTTATATCACCGTCGCGAGAATTTATCAGAAGCCTGATCCGGGGACTGACCCGGTTGGAGGATGCCGTGCAGTGCACGACGACCTGTGGATGACGTCGATTTTGTTTTCGTGGGATCAACGCAGATCTAGTTCCAAAATGGGTTCACAAGGACCTGGAGGATATGGGTGGGTCAAACCAACGAGGAGTCATGAGGAGTCTAGAGCAAACCATGGAGGAACAATTGCCAGTCTTAACGGCCCGGTCACGCTTGTTTGCTCATGTTTGCTCCTCCGACGTCTGCGCAAGCCTGGGTGTCAGGTCGGGATTCATTCGAACTATGGACGCCTGGGACTGGATTACGGTTTCAGAGCAACCCCTAAGATGTCTGAAACAGACGAAAGTCCATTTCAACGGCTATACAGTAAATTGAACTCCGGAAGCGTTGGGGAAATTGCTTCCTTCGCCGCCAGGGATCTCTTCGCAACTCCCTTGGGCTTTCTGCTGGGGCACCCGCTGATCCGCCGGAACACACGGGAATTGGCTACCAAATGGGTCTCATGGAGTTGACCCAAGAACACATCACATGGTTACGTGGATGGCATGGCCCCGAAAGGAAGACGACTTGCCTTGACGAACAGGGGATTCTCCACTTCCATGTTAGTGAGTCAGAGTGCAAGTCGTCTTCCTTTCGGGGCCATGCCATCCACGTAACCATGTGATGTGTTCGTCGGAGTGTAAAGCACAGACCTGGAAACTCGGTCAAGGTGAGGGTGGGGCCATGAACATGGAAGTGTATCAGAGTAGGGGAGCTACAGCAATTGGCGCATGTATGATCACTATTTACCTTACACACTGACCGGTTTTGTATTGCTGGATTGAACGGAACTTACACCATAATGAGGGCCTTGTCCGGAAGAGGGCAATGTCGGGACAATGCAGAACGTGTTTCTTTTTTTTGTGATACTTACAGTTCTTTTCGTAGCTCAATAGGTTGAACATTCAATGATTCAAGGTGTCAGGAAAGTTTCAGCCTGCAATAGATTCTGGAGCTATCAGGCCACTTGCACCAGTGATACCAAATACATTGTTATTGCTGTTCGTGCAAGGAAGTTTGCAGATCTGTTCGAAGTTGCAAAAGAGATTCTGCAATGACCTATTCTATATATGCCTTTGCTCCAGGGCTGTTTGTCACGTAGGTCATCCAAAGTTGAAGATAAGCACATGTGCATTGCGGTCGTTCTTGTGCCATGGTGTTGTGCCAACAGTGCAAGGAATCAAGGACTGGACTCTTTTGGGCAACCCTCCTCTCGAAGGGTGCATGGGGGAGTCCACCCCCTTTGTTTCGAAGGAGTCCACCGTCGACCCATGTCCCGCCATATTCCCAAAATGATTTGGACTCTCCGTTCAAGCTAAGGTAGCTAGATGTAGCATGGTAGATGGTAGATGTGGAAGATTGTGGAAGTGATGTCAGGGAGAAAAAGGCCAGGTCGCCCATTTGCAGCAGGTCTATCCATCCGATGGATTCAGGTCGCCCCTCTGAGTCTCTCTCGCTGGCCCTCGCCCTCTCCTCGCCGCCCAGGCACGTGTCGGAGTTGGGGCTTCGTGATTGGCAGAAGACCTTAGAGATCTTCGGAACCGCTGCCATCGCCCAGTTCCAGAAGGCGCCCGTTTCTTCGGTAGCTTGGAGGGGCCGGTCGGAAAAGGACAGATGGAGGTTTGGACGACTTTCTCTGAACCCCAAGGAAAAGGGCATCCCTTCAGTACTTCTGGGATGGACCCTAAGATGATGAAAGGAATTGGCATCTCTTAGGAGGCCAGATCAAGCTTGTAAAAATCCTGACCGGAAGGCTTCAACCATGTGGCCTGGGGCTCAAGACCTGTAAATCATTTCCAAATCGGGGTGCTGTCGGTCAAAAAACCCTCACAATTCCTTACAAACTCGTGGGTGAATTCAATTCAATTCTAAGAATGTCCGATTTGACCTCTCGAGGGCCGCAGAAATCAGCTCGGCGAAGTCGGAGAAACGATGAGAAACAGCAAACAACAAAGGAAGCATCAATCTCCTTTCGTCCACAGCATCTGCACCTCTCGTCTCCTCTCGTCATCTCCTCGCTCACCTCTCCTCGCACCGGAGCCCTGCGCATTTGTGGGGGGCCCCCGCGCGCAGCTAGCTGCGCGCACGGCGTCTCCTCGCGGCGGATGAACAGGTGCAGAAGGCCGAAAGACGTCGAAGCTTTGTGGACCTGAACAATCATTTCTTTCAAAGCCAGGCAGTGGGGGATTGCCTGGGATGGGGATGAGGTTTTGTCAGTGGAGAGCGTGTGAAGAGAATGAAGGGTCAAAGCACGAATTCAGATGCAGGACTTGGAAGACTCAGAGCTTAACTCCTGCACAAGCTTATTTTTGGGATGTTGTTGCTAATTTATGAAGAAGAGCATAGTGTCACAAGAGCTGGAACCACATGAGTGTATCCTCTCACAGCAAGTGTTCATCTATGTTTCTTTTACATAAATAAATAGATATATTATTGTCATATCATTATCTATATGTTATACATAATATGTATATAAATATTGAGATACTCTGCTCGGACAATCAATGGAACTTACAGCCTGACCCGTTTTCGCTCGCGGAGTTCTCGCCAGCTAAGCCGAGCTCGCGGAGTCGCTCGCCGAGCGAAAAAACCACTCTGCAGGACACGAATCCACGCAGCGCGATGGCGGAGCCGCACTCCTGGCGAGAGCTTTATTCGAGTAAGGAGCGACGGAGCGCAGCGGCCGAGCGGACGACACCTGCACAGAGCGGACGAGCTGTTGCGAGGCATGAGTCAGGCACTGTCACCTCAGGTGTTTGAGCAGCAACTTTTATCGCTGTTTCTCCGAGAGACTGTTCAAAGAAACAACGCACTGGAATGCACAGCGGCACAGCATTTCCAGGAAATGCTTTCCAGTATACATTGATGGCCCCTTTCTTTCACAGCAACATTGTCCAAAGTTCAGAATCAGATGCACGTGAAGGTTTTTATTTTTATTTTTACTTTTTCCGGAGCCGTTTATATAGATCCGTACTCTCCAGATGTAACATCCAAAAGCATACCTGACAACAATTAAACAGGAGGACATGTGATGATTGCTGAAAGAGGGTATGTTTGTCATGAGGGTTGAAGATGCAACCTGTGAGGTTTGTCATTTGTCAAGTTTGCAGCCTGCTTAAACCATGCGGGTATATCACTCACTCACACACCTCATCCACCATTTCATGGAATCTAGGGGAGGTTGGAGCTTGGAGCTCGGAAGCAGCGAACTGCAGAGCGAAATGTGCCTTCTCCAGGAGTATCGAGAATGGGCCAAAGTCAGCCAACAGATTTGCAGCTCCTTCATCAACAAGCTGGGCATCCCTCTTGCAGAGGCCTTCAGCTGGTTGTTGGACCGTTTTGTTGCAGTAGAAATCGGTAGAAAGACCAAAGTGGATATTTCAATGTTCGATCCCTTCCATCCTATTTCTGGCCCTTTTATTTCTCTGGAATGCTTAGCCTCCTCAGCCTCCTCCCGGGGGCCGACCGCAGGAGGAGGCGAAGAACTTGGAACTGGTCACATGGGCAGCGGTCTATCCCAAGAGCCATGAGCCAGTGACGCACTATTACCATGCGCACCAGGCCAGAGGTAGACCGACCCGCCTGAAAAAGCCGCATTTGGTGCAGAGACCTAGGATTTGTGGCCTATTACTTACCAAAAATCCCCACATTATGCTTGTGTTAGAGGTAGGTTCATCATGCCAGAGATGAAATGCATGTATGGAATGAGGCGGCCAGATCTTGAATCGCACAAAGAGCAGCACGCTTGCTGGATTTTTCGTTTTCTCAGAAAAACCAGCGTTCTTGGAATTGAACCAGTCTTCTCCATTCCCGCTGGTTTGGTCCTGGCACAGGAGTCCATTGTGAGTCACTTGGCGGAGTGGAAGAAAGCAAGGTAGAGACTGGGCGTCGTCCAATTCTTGGAAGGCCGTGCGAGGTCTCTGCGTTTCAGGACATCTCAAATCATTCTCAATATCGCTATGAATATGGATGTCAATGGGATGCGGTACCACACTAGACTAGAAACAACACTAGACTAGACTAGACTAGACTAGAGGAACTTGACAATATCTTAAAAATCACACTATAGACTAGACTTGCATAGGAAGAAGAACTATAGAAACAACTTACTGTAAGCTCCTTGACTGGGATTTTCGGTCCCCACACACCTAGCATGTAGGGGTTTGGGCCAAGGCCTTGTTCAGGGACTCGACATGCTGGTACGATGTTTAGATGTTGGAAGCACCTCAAAGCTCTGGATGTGTCGATTTGTTGGAACACCAACTCGTTTTGTTACTGTATTTGTTCTACTTATTCCATGTACCGTATATCTATGGTATCAAAATGTATCAGTGTTGAATCAGGCTTGGTTGATGGTACCCAAGTCTTGTGATGACCATGGTGTCATCGTGCAACTAGCAGATGCTGAAGGTTAAGTTGTTGGGGAGCTCAACATGGGGTGGCCCTTCTGGACAGGGAATGTGTGGATAGCAAGTGGAAATCCAATTGACCTACTGGCGATCTTCTCTTCACTGTGCTTATATATCTTCTCGTGTTGACCAGAGTGTCACCGACAGCAAGTGTCGCACGCTGGAGCGCGTGAGACGGAACTCTCCTGCCTGGCTCAGCATGGGCCCCATGCTGCGCCCTGCGCCAAGGCTTTGTTCTCTACGTGAAGATGCCGGAGCCCTTCGTCGGCATCTTTGGGCTTTGGTCGTTTCTTTCCGTTAAAGCAGTAAGACAGGGTGGCTACGCACGGTGGAGGGCTAGCCGCTATTGGGTTGGCCATGACTACTAAGCATTAAGACAGGGTTTAATCCTTGCAGATACTTACCGCTCCACTTGGAAAGGGATTGATTGGCATGGGGAGATGGAGTGACTAAGAAACATCACATGAGGGGCCATTCACAAGCCATTTGGCCACAAAGGCCTGAAATCTGACAAACACATCCACATAACTATGTTATTCCGGTTATTCCTGCAAAAAAACGGAAGGCTATCAATGAATATACGTACTATACAACTACACATATAGAACAAGGCTTTTTTGTGTCCAAACATGGATTCCAGAAAAGGTAGCAGCTCCCTTCCGATTCTTGAACAGGTCGACCAGACTTCACTCGTCTTCCCACCGCAACCGTTCGGACCGTTCGGACGCCTCCCAGGCCGGTGACGCCCTTGACGATCTCCGACCCGCGGGGCGCGCCGCCGGTGGAAGACTTCGAGTGGTTCCAGGCGGGAACTTGGAAAGCCGATAGTTGGATCGGTTGGAGCGATGGATCTGGATGGATCTGGTGGATGGGAAAATGGATGTTTGGGTTCATGTTGACTGTTGATGATGTATGAAGAGGTTTTACACTCCAACATATTTCTTTCTATTCATCAACCGTCTATTACAAGAATTAGGAGGCTACTTTGCTCAGGCTGTGCACACCTTGTGAGGACTCTCAGCTCAAGCCACTCCGACTTCGTGATCTATGATTCATGATCCATATCTGGGAAATGACGGTAGAACGTACTCTTGGAATTGAGCTCAGAGTTTTGAAGGGGTGCACAGGATTGAACCATGATTCAGGGTAGAGGAAGACCTGCCAGTAGCAAGGGCGTTGGTTAAATGGGTGGCCCAGAACCAAGCATTCAGTAGTCAAACATGGACATGCGATTGGTACGGGTTGATGATCTTCTCGCGAGGTGGACTTTGAAAGGTTAATGTGAGTGTGAGTGTGAAGGTGACATGAATTAAGAGTGGATCTTCTGCGTACAATGTTCGGCTTAAGGAACCGTTCTTCTTGTTTTGTTTTTTCACAGCCATGGCTGGAAGCATCTAGACCAACGCAGGTTATCCTGAACTCCACACGAGTAAGGGGGCAAGAGTGTGGAAGTGGACAATGGCCCCATTGGATGAGGATTTTCCGAAATACCAAACGGGTGCTTTTGTCTCCTCTTCCGTCACTTAGTGACATAAGGAGTGTAGATCAAGAGACTTGGGGGGGTCGAGCAGTTGGGATGTGTATGGATTTGTTGATGTGGTTCCACAATGTTCCACAGATCCAACTTCTTTCAGCTTTGACTTGGGCCATCCTTTGCAGGTGGTAAAAAAGGAAAACGGCCCAAGGTTGCCCTCAAAAGACGACTCTTGGAAAAGCATCGGCTTTTACCGACTGCTTGGGGAGGCATTGTTTTGTGTGGGAATCCACTGGCGAAGATCAGGTGAGCAGATCACATCCGATCACTTCCACGGGGCATTTGAAACAGGTTTTGCGCTTCACCGGTTGCTATGTACGTAGTCAGCTTGACCCGTCAAGGGAACAGTTCAAGGCCTATAGATGCCAATCTTCAGCAAATGTCTTTTCCTTGTGTTTCGGGTGTCGGTGCTTTTTGCAGGATTTTTTGGTGTCCGAGCACATTGCTCTCCAGCGCCCCGGTGGCCGCAGGATTTAGGTGATATGGGTGTGGATGGAGACCCTCCATTCCATCGACCGGTGGAGTTCTATCCTGAGGAGACTGGAGGTGTGGCTGGCGACAGGTTTCACCATAAGGTTGATGAAGATTGACCTCCGAAGGTAGGTAGGGATGCAAACATGTTTTTTGGGATGCACCCGATGTTGTTTCAAGTGAGGCCACCTGGCCGTGTGAAGAACCACACATCATAGGAGAAATCAAAGCCAAACCGGCGCAGCGTGGCGTGACGTCACCCGGTGGCGTCACCCGAGCCGAACAGCGATCTCGTGTTGCAAGGGGCCAAGTCGGCTGATGTAGACTGTTAAGTCTTTAACCACCCAGTATGAAGAGGTGTTTCAATTCAATTGGGGATAGTTTATTAATCTAGAGTCTACATGAAGAGTTGGATGGTTTTGTGATGTTTTGATGGGATGAGCACTTACGAAAACCACCGTTTGGTCACTCACCGGCATCAATCATTTCTCTACATCTGTTCCAGGGCCATGGCTGTTTGCCTGGTAGGCCAACTTTTGCATGTGAAACACCTCACATTTCAACACTGAAATCCACTCCCGCACTTCGGTGAAACACGACTGCGCAGAACTTGACCGATCCGATCGAAAAGGAAAAGGGCTTCGACCTCGGTCCGCAGATCGACCTCGGTCCGTGCAGGAGGGGGACATTCTCATTTTCCCATCCTTCGCGATCCACAAGGCACGGCAGAACGGACGATGGAGGACGGAGTCGCATTATCTTTGAGGTATTTGGCTATTTACAACCGAATCCGGTCCTGCAGATCAGGCCAGGTTGCTGCCTCCGTGAACTCCTCCGTGAACCGCTCCGTCAACTGATGTAGACCGCACCGCTCGAATAAAGGCCGCCGCCAACGAGGTTCCGCCACACTTGGGAGAAGACACGCGGGTGGTCTTCCCGAGCAACTGCCACTTGCCCAAGAAGCCCAAGGTTCTGGACAAGACCTTCCATGTGGCCTGGCTGGATTTCAGAAAATGGCGAAGACACCCCAGCAGAGCCCAGATGTTTTTGGGGACGACACGTGGGGTAACGCGGTAGGGCGACGAAACCCAGCGTGTGATGAAGCTGTCTCATCCGAATCATGTAGTGGATCTGTCCGCGAAGGGTATGGAACTGACAAAAGCTTTGGTCAGACGGGATTCTAATTGACATCTACTGGGCAAGCTTTGACATCTACTGCGAATGCTACCCCCGTGTATTTGACATCTTCCTTGGAATTGACATGACTTGGCCTACTGCGAACTAAACTTGGATGTGCAGCAGGAGTCCTAAATCCTGACCCCCTCAAAAGTAATATGACACATGTCATGACATATGATTACACCATCTTTTGAGTGACTCGGTATATCACATCTGAATCGCCGCCCGCAGGGCATGGAGAACCCACTGGATGGATGGGAGCGCATCGCCCGGTGGCAGGCAACTGGACTCGGTCCGTGGCGAAAACCACCGGTGAAAACCAAGGTTTCATCATTGCTTTGCAAACAAGTTGAAAACGAAACAATATAATACAATACACATATATACATGCAGTGCACATATACAATTATATATTTGTTAAAATACATAAATAAATAGATAAATATATATAATATATATTAATATATATTATATATGGGGTGTTCCCCATTAGCAGCAACAGTTGGTAAAAGATGATCACTCTTTTTGAGAAGGGCCTGCAACCTAACCATCATCCACCGGGTCCTGGTAATGGGACATTATATACCATTATATACCCAAGATAGATGAAGAATGTATTTTTAACATCGACCTGTTTGTACACAGCATCTTGGAAAATTGTTTTGGTAGAGGCAAACAAAACTTTCCCAAAGACCATGCTTTGACTGGCACGCGAAGCACTGATTTGCAGACCAGTGAATAGACATGTCAGTGGATGGCACCACGTGTTTGGTATTCGGAAATGGTCATGCAAGGTGCATACCCAGTCCATGGATTAACTTTCAGGAAGGCGTACGTACTGTAGCTGTTCTATGATATTGGAGGGTCCTTTTAGAGTGACGACCCTCAATCCACAGATACTCAAATCTAACAACCAAACACACAAATCACCTGAGGGTTCCAAGTGCCTATCAAAGCCGTCACTCAGGTTCTAGCCAGTTAAATCTAGAATGACCCAATGTGTTGAAGCTCTTCGATGTTGCCGGAACGTTTTGGATTTTAAGACCCGCATCGATGCGCAGGCTCCATACTTGAGCCGCCCATGGGCAGTGAGCAGATACCGACATCATGCGAACCTCGCCTTGGCAGCGGCCGAGCGCCTGGAGGACGGAGGCGGATTCGCAGACCGAGCCCACGACTGATGGATCTTGAGGAAGGACACCCCGACAGGAAGGTCCAGGTAGGTTATTGCAATTCAATCACATGCACATCATGTATGAGGACCTTTGCAAGACAACATATATATATATATATCCAAACCATGGATATATGACTTCGAACCTGGCAAACCATGTGACAATGATTGGCAATGATCCCCCTGGAACAACCAAACCGATTCTCGCTACGGTAGTTTGTTGTTGTTCTTTGAGGTCAGAAACTCCAATGAGATCTATGAGATCCATGAGCCAGCTCAATCTCACTGAGACAGACTTCTGAATCTTATTCGCTTTGCATACTTTATGACCATCAGTCTCCGAAGCTGAATGCGAGCTCCGTAGAAGAATTGCTTTAGATCCATTTTCCTCGAAAGGACAAGGGACATGCATGATATGCCTTTCACAACAAGAGTTCACCACTTGCAAGATTTGCGCCACAACTTTAACTTGCTTTCTTTTTCTAGTCAAGATGCCTTCCTTTTAGCCTGCTTGTTTTACTAGTTTTGCTTGTTGCCCAGATCTTTTCTTCATAGTGGGAGGGCTATCATTAAAATTCATTAAACATGTACGAAATGCTGTGACATGTTTGGTGAACATGTCATTTGTAAACCGTTGGTTGTAATTTTAGCTATCATTTATTATGTTTATCTATCATTTCTATATCTTATACGCTATGACAGGGAATTATTACTAACTTTGCTCTCTTATCATTGTAATTAGTGTTGCTATCTTATTTTATCCGGTTTTTCTAAGAGATCAATGGTGATGAAAAGCCGGCAAAGATAATAATACTATAACCTAGCCCATGACCTCGTTTTCATATTATAAATTAAAGAAAACGAATGCGAATAAAATATGAGCTATAAATAAGTAAAAGATTGCATTAATTTATTCCAGCTCTTGTGACCTTCTTTTACATCTAAAAAGGGACCAACAGGCCTTTTCGGGAACCAATAGTGGTGCCTTGGTCCTTTCTCTTGACGGATCAGGGATCAGCTCGAACCGCCTCTCAGTGAGGCCCAGGAAGGCTCATGTGACACACGTGTTCCCATGCCAAGGGGTCTTTGGAAGGTGTTCCCGATTGCCCCTGTTTTGTTTGAGAAAGCTTTGAATCCAGTATATGATGCGGAACTTCGGAATGGCTGGAGGAAGCAAGAGGAAAGCATCGGAAGCATCCATTCCTGTGTCCTTTCATGGGCGGTCGTGAAGAAGAACACCACGGGTAATTTGGGGTCCTGGCAAGAGTAGACCAGAACTCATTGTCTTGAGACCCTGATGTAGACTCTTGATTAATAACGCCCCTTTTATGAAGAGGTTTTACAGTCCAACTGGAAGGCTTTACTATGTAATCAGCCGTCTACATCAACCTCCCTTCAATTTGTGAGGACCCCTACATGAAGATTTGGGAGGCTCGCTGGATGATGGGTTAGAGTCCGATTCCCAGTGAAACTGGATCAGGATCCTGCTGGGAATTAGGTGTGCACACTCTCATCACTCATGACTCCTGAGCTTCATCATCATTAAATATCCTCCTCCTCCTCCTCCTCCTCATCATCATCATCATCATCATCATCATCACATATCCTCTCTGACGAACACATCACTTGGAAGGGAATGGCATGGCCTTGCGGAAGATGACAATTCTTTACGATCAGCTCTGGTTCCACTTCCATGTTAGTGAGTCGGAGTGTAATGCAAAGATATATCAACATGGTTTTACATTTTCATAAGGGGGGCTTATGAATCAACTGTCTATATACAGTATACATTAGCCCAATGCCATCACCTGGTGCATTCCAAATATCGCTTTTACATCCAAACAGATCCAGAAAACCTCCGCTTTCCTGTACCAGCCGATCGATCTGTCTCGAGTCTTCCAAAACGTGGTTTGGGGAGAACTCTTCCTGCAGGTGCAAAATCAGGTCCTGGCCATGCTGCAGTTCGGCCTGCACGATCCTCGAGCCTGGCTACAAGCAGGCGCCCTCTCTGCATTGCTATGGTATCAGCCCACATAATGCAATTATCTTGCAGCGGAGGATTGAAGACCCTTGACGCGGTGAGGTCAGGTGGTCAGCCAGAAGCGAAACTGAACAATTCATTGATTCATCGGGTCTTGAGAATGGTCCATGAGATTCAGCAGGAATCACCAACATCGCCGGTTAAACAGATCATGTCCTTTCTTCTGAAGTTCATGCTCTTGGCCACAACAAGATCCTTTGTATCTATTGGGAGCAAGCATTCAACACGGCCGCCTGCAACTCCGTGTTGAAGATGTTGAAGCAGATACCCGAAGATCCTGAAGGAGTTGCCGCAAAAGTCGGGTGTGTCTCGTATCCTACACACCAGGTACTGTACACTTTGACTCATGGAAGGATAAGCACTATTTGGTAAAGACGATAACTTTCCCTGGGCTATGTTCTGCTTTAAGTTTGAGTGAGTTGGAGTTATTGGAGTGCAATCCTTGACGAAACATTAGAGCGGCCAATTTCCCCTTGTCGATGCTCCAGAGTCTAGCTCCACCTAGTGTTCCATGTGGTTGGAGATCCGCACAACAACTACACAGATCGGGATGCACCCATCCATGCACCCATTTTTTGTGTCAAAAGCAATGACCGACATGCCAGACATGGTCTTTTTGCTCCATGCCTTACCCATGTCAGTGACATCCAGTGACACCTCCATTGGGTCACACGGCCGTCGTTTTCCGAAGACGGTGCGAGGCATCCACATCCCTCGGGTTCGCCGCGTCGGTGGTGACCGAAAAAAAGCAGTCACGAAAGAACAAGGGGGTTTAAGGTGTCTTAGCCATGTCATGGAATCCCATAGAATCATGTAGAATCCATACCCAAACAATCGGACTGACCTATTTACCATGATCTTATCCATGATTTACCTACATTTGGTAGGAGTAAGGACCAGGTCAATCTTCCAGTCCATGGCTCGTGCTTGGGATCGACTTGTGGCATCGAGAGGGTGTTCGTCCTCGACCGGTCCGTCTCGGCAGGGAATCTTTCAGCGAAGGCGGCAGTGATTCTGGACTCCCGAGGCGAAGGAGAGCCACTTGGACTGAAAGGAAATGGGTGATACCGTATGAGCCCACCAGGTCACCATGTGGATCAAACAAGACCTGCCAGGTGAAGCAAGCAAGAAATCCTGGTGCCAGACCCACAGTCATGATCTCTGAGCCAGAGTCTTTGAGGCCCTTTCTCTAAGCAGTCTAAGCCCCAGACCCTCAGCCTCTCCTCGTTGTCGCTCGACCACGGCTGTCGACCCCGGGCGACTGGTCTTCCCGGTCACGTGTCGAAGGTGTCAAGAGGCGAAGACGGAGGGAATTTGTTCGATGTCAAGTGCAAACTGGACATCAACGGTTTTTTTTTCCATGTTAGATCAGGTTTTGAAGTGTGCATGTGCTTAGTGAGTGCAAGGCAGGAGTGGCACACTCAGTGCAGCTGCTTCCCATGGCTGACAGGTACTACTTAGATGCTTCGCTGATGTTTGCTCGAGCACTTGACCTTGATCCTTCCATCAAGCAGGAGGTGGATTCCTGCCGCTCGGTCTGGGTGATCTTCCTGTGTGACGGGTCAAAACCTGGAGCCCTGGTCCAAGATGTAGCTTGACCTTCCAGGTAGCCCGGGTGCCCTGCTGAGCAAAAGGACCTTGGGGTGGGCGTGCAGCAGACGCAAGTATCGCCGGTAGGTCAAGCAAGGTATCCTGGTGCCATGACCCACAGCCAGTTCTGAAACGAAGTTCCCCCAGTAAACCACTGAAGGAGCTGGGAGTGCCTCAAAACAGGCTCAGGTATTCTGTGACCATCGTCAGTCCATCAGTCTGGACACCCTGACCAGCTAGGCAGCTAGGCGCCTAGCCACTTCGAGGTGAAACTCACGGATTCTGACACGAAGGCGCCAAATATACCTACCCCAAACGTCTCAAAACCATTCATGGAGTGGACATACATAACATGTTTTGCATTGTTTTGCTAGTTTTACATGAATGAGGGCTTGGCGTTCATGTGATTCAAGGCGCTCAGGCAACGATTCTTTTTCTTTGACCCTTCTGCGGGTCAATCATCGCAAACCCAAGGTTTGGATGCGATGATCCCGAGAAAGGTGAAGAAGAAGCAAAAGGCGTGAGATGGGGCTGAGATAGGTCGCAACTCCTGGATTCACCTTCTTCACATTCAAGAACGGAACTTGGGAGCCGATGAGAGCTGGGCAAATTCAAACACATGAGAGCTAGGCCAGTCAATTCGCATCTGCGCATAGCGCCGTGGAGGTTGGGAAGAAGGGAGTCTGCAGAACCTGTCAGAACCCCCTGTCCAGAACAGGTCGACCCATTTTGGGCGACCCATCGAATGCACGTGTCGTACGTCGTACGCAGGAGGCCTATGGCTCGCTGGCGAAGTGGAGGACATGTCTCGGACCGCGCCTGCGCACCGTTGTGAGACTGAAGGATGATTCGCCCCTTGCTACGTGTTGCACTTGCGGCGGTGAGTTTCTTCTTTTTGCCCGAATGTTCCGCAAAACTGCTTCTTGCTGCCAACTATAAGTTTTGATAAGTTTTGTGTTGTTGCCGCTATTTCTGTTGCATTTCAACAAAGAGTTCTGACACAGACCACTTCTCGCTGCGAAGACTGTTGTGTGACTCGTAGGAGATCCAGTTGGATAGACCCTGCCTCTCCCTCTCGCTCCTACCACCTTGACTGTCTCTTTGTGCAGTGTGGATTTTTCTAGAAAAGTTAACCGAGCACTCAGCACTCAACATATCTCTACGATCCATCTAAGAAGTCTACAAGGTTTGTGGTTCCCAAGATACCAAAGCGGCAGTCATGAGTTGTCACCAGGAAGCTTATCAAGTCTTGGCGAGCCTTGGCAAGGAGAAGGAAGTAATACGACAATATCACATGTTTCAGGAGAGCGGGGCATTTTGCACTCCAAGTCACTCTAACATGGACGTGGAGTTCACCACCTGTTTGGCTATTCGGAACATGGTCCCCAACCGGCCATGGAACCCACGTCCGCTCTCAGGGAGCGTAGGAGATGTTCATCGGGATCTTGGACAAAGCTAGTTGATCTTTGGGGCACAGTCGCTAGGGTGGTGAACACTTGTGAAAACCATCCGGCTTTTTCCTTAGACCTCCAACGACCATTTGAGAAGGCAACTGTGTGGGACCTCTACGTTCTGTCCTCGGTCACAGAGGATGTGCTGGGGCCCTGATGGACCCCGGACTTCTGGTTTCAGGAAGTCTGAGTCGGAGGTTTTATGGTCTTTGCCCCTTAGGATGTTTTGATGTTTGCTGCGTCTTTTGGATGGTGTTCACGCCCGCGAAGAGAACGGACTGAGCAGAACTGTTCTTTCCAGAAAGCCTTAACCATCGGATTTAGCCAACTTTGTGAATTCCAGACTTCCAGCAGCTCGCAGTGTTTTGGAATCAAGGTCCACCTCAACTTGCTCGCGCAACACCTCAACTTGGTCTCCAGGGTTCTGAAGACACGTGCTAGAAAGATTGGGAAGCATACTGCTGATTGCTACGAGATGTGAAATCTCCATCTCAAGGCCTCCAGATGTACAGAGCTTTGTCAATCGATAGCAAACTCATCCAATCGCGAGCAACAGCCCAGCTTGGCGGCCCTGGCAGCCGCATTGGGTTTACTCATGGACAGGTTATGCAACTTTTTGGTATAGTGGATAATGGTATAAATAGATGGACCATGATGGAGCCCCATCTACTTAAGATATGTTTTTTGCCATCGAACCTCTGAAACCACTGAGTTCTCGGACGCTACTAGGTGGGGCCTCGCTGGCCTCGCTACGAACGGAGCGATCGGACGCTACGAACGGGGCTCTCTGCTTTGGGCGGACCCAAGGGATGATCCAGGGCTTCCGGGCGCTCAGGAACTGAGCCCCCTCGAGCAGAGGTGACGTTTCTGGGCGGAAGACGATTTAGGTTGGCCAGTTCAATGATCAAAAGCCAGACGTTTCGTTTTTGTTCTATTTCAACACAATACTAATTAAATACGTGTTGACTTGTCACGAAAAAAAAGCGCTTGTTGCTTGTTTGTTCACCTTTATGTTTCTTTTTTTTCCTTCACTCAGTTTTGTCCACATTCGATCTACAACCACACCGATGGTCACCGGGTCGCCGAGTCAAGTCGGGTGGATGCCATTTGAGTGGAGTCAGTGGAGTCAGTGGAGTCAGTGGTGTGTGGAACCAGTCAGGAGGGATCTATGAGATTCTAAGACTAAATCATTGTGATAAATCATTGAGCAATCATTGAACAAAATCAGCTGTGGTCATTCATGATGATCCCTCAAAGTCTGGCCATGTGAATGAGTTTCTTTCTTTCTTTGCCTTTTAAATTATGTGGCGGGTCTTGATTTCTGTCTCGACCGGCTCGATGGAACCATTTCTCTCTCCCCCACAGGTAGATCTGGAGAAGGGTGCTCCATGCTGAAAGACCGAAGAAAAAACATGGCTCAAAATCTACCATGTTTCAGTCGAGTTCTGAACTCATTGGACGCAAGATCAAGCAGGTATGGACACCCAAAACTGGCTTGTTGTGTCAAGATGGTCTCCAGGGGGGCATGTTCAAGGTCCATCTCAAACTTTGACGCGAGACAGGGAATCCTAAGGAATCATTGCAAGTCCGAAGATCTTCGTTCGCCAGCGAAATCGGTGGCCAAAACGAGGCAATTCCTCCACCCAGAGGTCAATGGCCCTGGGCGATGCTCGCGCATGTGCCCAGCCAGTCAGATGCCCACCTTCAGGCGCGGCTTTCGAAAGCGCGGGCGCGGTCTCGCACGTTTCTGGCGCAACAAACGTGTGGCGCGTTCTCGGAGGGAGGCTGTTGGTTCAATTGAGGATCACATACCTTCGCATGTTCAAGACTGTCCAGGAGGGGTTCATTTTGGTGACAGCTATATAAAGAGATCTGGATCCGATTGGTTTGTACACGTTTGTACCTTAAAAACGTGGGTGGGATGGTCACCTTGGTTTGCCTGCTCCGGTCACTTGACCAATCCGGAGAGTCCTTAAATGCGGAAGGTGAACACCCAAGGTCTACGTAGATGATCATTCCAGGTCTTCCAAGGGTCGTGCAAGGCCCACATCAAGACACCTTTTCAGGATCCGCAAAGGTCACTGATTCACTCAATGATTCAAGAGACGGAGCTGTTGGTGACTGTTTTGGGGCGCGTTTCTTTTGTGTTTTGCTGCCTGAAGATGTCTCTGAGCACATAGCTTTTTCGGGTGGTCGTTTTTCGGACACGCCCTCTCGGACCGACCGCGGCTGACCGACCGCGCAGGACGCTTCGAATTCGTTCGGCCCGGTGCTCAGAGTCTGTGTTGCGACGCGAAGCGGCGTTTGGAAGGAACAAGAAGCTACTAGGGGCTCTCAGCCTTACTACTAGGAGCAAGGACCTTACTAGGAGCTTTTTCGCCAGGAAAACAGTCGGAAAGAGTAAGGCGATTCGCGAGGAAAAAGCTTCAGACGGGACGGGAAGACAGATCCTTCTTGTGGTGCAGAAGATTCGATGAGAGATCCAATGAAATTTAGCCACAGTTTCTCGTAAGAAGCGGTCAACTAAAATCAACATTTGCAGTGAGTTGCAGGGTCCAACCCGGATTCGAGTTTCCTTTCTCCATAGTGCTGTTTCCCTGGAAGTCCAAGACCATTTATATCAACAAATGGTGGACCTGGTGTTACAGTGTGAAATCCTTAGTAGCACAATGGTGGTTCGGTAAACAACATATAAGAACCATTAAAGTAATGGTGCCTGGAAGCCTCGGGGTCTAAATTGAGGGTGAGAACATACAACGCCACCGTGTCTCGCCGTGCCAACCACGACACCACCGCCCCATGGACATTGGAATTCGGCCGCCGGGGCCCTCACGCCAAGAAGAAAGCTGTGTTTTTGCTGGTGAAGTATCAACAAATCAACAGTTATTCTGCATATGTTTGAAAACAGGTTGAAATCAATGACTCACCTTGATTTTATGAACAACTGCCAACAACTGCCTTAAGCTTAGAACATTTCCTTTGACTCAGTGGGCATCTATGTCACTGAAAGATCTTCTCTCAGTTGCTGCAATTTGACATAGTGACATATGGGTCCAGAATAGATGGACATGACACCCACTCCAACAATGGCTGTCTTGTATTGGACATTGGACGCTCTTTCTCTGTGTTTTGGGAATACGATCTTTTGTCTCGTCGATGCGGCACGGTGCGGCTGCGAACCGCTGTGCACAGGTCTTCAGCAGCCGGATCTACATTCTCAAAGGAAGGCAGTGACTGCTGGCCATTTGGGCACTGCAGTCTTGCCACTTCAATCTCAAATAACCAACCTGCTTTTGGAAGAAGATCTCATGGAAGTTGGAAGACCTGACAGTCTCAATCTTGGATTAACAAAAAGTAATTAAGGTGCATGGAGAACTTTCGGAGGGCACAAACGAAACTTCATAGGCCTTCATTGAAGGCCGCGGGTTGGAACGTGTCACTGTATCGCATCGCAGACGTTTGCCATCCAGTTCTGCATCCCTATGCTATAAGTGTCAAGTAGTTAGGTGCCCTGTGGATTTCTCGTACCATCTCGTACCCTTTCTCCACATCGTGAGAGAGAACACGACAGATACTGGATCCCCCACCTATTTGCTTCGTGAACCCGAGAAGGTGCTCTCGTTCGCCACCCGGTCGCCACCTGACCTGCCACGCAGGGAGCTCACGGTCGCTGTGAAGGCAGCGGAAGAGCTTCTGGAGGCGAACGTGTTCCGGGATGACATTCACCGGTTACAGGTGAGCAGCGGTCAAAACATCCCAATAATTGTTACTAACAATTTGAAGAGAAGTGTGATGTGGCAGGTGCCTTAGCTTTCAAAGCTCAACATTGGGTGGCAAAAGCTTCTCATAGGAACCGAACATACCGTAGAACTGTAGAACAATTCTCGATAGGTTTGGAGCAACGCTCAGGTCACCTTTTGTTGAGACATGTTGAGACCAGTTTGTGGGGGCTCAGCTTTACAGGTCCCCTCAAAAGCAAGCAACCTTGGCAGTCTATGATAGGGCTCCACAGACTTGTCTTAAGAATTCTTAAGACTTTTTGGGGTAGGAAATTCATCCTGGCAAACTTTGGGAGTCATCCTGGACTGATTTGGAATGGGACCAGATGGGCTTCGAGATATGCAAAGGAACCTTGGAACCATGGTGAGTTCATGCCAGAAAGGTCCAGTATTTGCTCCAAGGCGATTGTAGGACTTAGCTTCCTCCAAGTGTGTTTCACGCACAACTCCAGAAAAGGAGCTCTAGGCCAGTTGTTTGCGCCGAGCCTCATTTTGTTTGTTCCCTTGGTATCCCCAATTCGGAGACATGCCAAGGCTGTCCCTCCTAAAATCCTTCACGCCTCAACGAAGCGGAAGGAGGGCGAGGGTCTACCAGAAGACCATTCTCCTCTACATACTTATCGGGGTTCTGCTCCGCTTCATTGAAGTGTATCTCATGTCCTTAGTTCTAGACTTTAGATGAACCCGAACGTGCCTTTCTGACCAAGTTCTTCCTTAAAATCGTATGTCTGGTAGCTGACAGCTTCTTGCTTTGCTTGAACATTTTGATGCGGCAACGACACAAACAGGTCCTGGGTTTTGGTCAGTGCCCCCCTATTTCTTGAGTCATGCTTGCTGGAATTTTCTCGGACGAGCAAATCAGCGGGGTATGGCTATTTATGCTCCGAGTAAGAGCGATCCAAGTTTATGCGAGACAGCATGTCTATCGGGGATGGGGCATTCTCGAAAGCTGGAGCCAGACCAGTCCACCATGTAGCGAATGACCTTCCAGGTGGGTCAATCAGCATGTCCGTGTGCCATGACCCACAGCCCCATCATATCGTGCAGTTCCCTCACAAAGGGGATCGTTTTCCCCCATCTGCAACGAGGCTGAGCTGGGCTTTCCCGTGCAGGTTGAAGCCTCTGAAGAGTTGGAGGCCGGCTGCAGCCCTCGGGCTACGCCACTATTACAAGTGGTTTCGTGTAAGAAACACCGCTGACATCCACAGCCCTTGTCGGCTTTGTGCATTGTGCTTGAAAATGGTCAGCCAGGAGTACTGATCAACCCCATGCTTTGAGTGTCTTGGAACTTGATGGAAGCAGTTGATAACCTGCCCAAGCTTTTTTTGGGATTGGTTTCCCCACTAAACTTCAAGTAGAAAAATGCCATAAACTGCCTATTAACTGTTAACCTTCTCTTTTCCGGAGAAACGGCTGGTGAATAAGTGAGTCAACAACGCTGGGCTCTAGAATGAGAACCCTGATGTGGTGAGCCTCCCTTGTTCCCTAGACCTTTCGGAGGACCAGTTTGGAGAAAGAATCGCTGGACCTGGTAGACGGGTCATTTTTATTGGTACATATGTAAAAAGCGGACATCAACGACCAGTTTCTTTTTTTCAAGGTCTAACCCACCTCCCCCCCCGCGGTGGCCTCTCGTTCTTTTTTTTGCTCCAAACCGGCCAGGACGCCGGATGGATCGAACGCCACACGTCGGTCAACGCGAGGGTCGTGTGGAGGCCCAGTCGAGACACATGTGTCACAGAACCTGGGCCATGGGTGGAAGATTCTCTCCGGTGGATTTCGGATAGAGTTTGGAGCCCAATTCGCTCTTTCGGCGGTTTTGGCTCTCCGGTGGTGATTTGGCTGTGCTTTTGGCTCGCCTTGGTAGGTTGAGCTGGTCAACCAAGGTCCCCGGTTTTGATCGGCATTTCTCGTGTGACAGATTGATCTAAGGCTGAATCTCCCTATGTTCCCGGTGCGAATGAATTTTGGGTTTCATCTACTATAGACCATTGGGTAAAGGCACAATTGTGAGGTCTCCCACAGACACAGAGAGACACTGTGACACACACACACACACACTTAGAAATGGTTCATCCAATCCACAATCCACGAAGAAATGAATGAGGGAACGGTAAGGTGGCAGCGTCAGCAGAACTGAATTGTTTGAACACTGGTTGCAACGCACCACAACGTTTAGTTACTGAATACTTAGCGGTCCCGAATTACGGCCGTGCATAGTGGGTTAAGTTCCATCTGGAAGCGAGACCAATGGAATCGCTTCGGATAGGGTAGAAAATAGCTAGAAAAGGACATCACGATTCCAGTTTATATCTAGGGGGCGACTTGCGAATTGCCCCATTGGAGTAGAAAAGGTTCAACAGAAGGAAAGGAACCGACGCACAAGTCCGCCGAGAACCATTTCCTTCTGTTGCCCTGTATAGCATTGCAGGTACGTGGAAATGGCGTCCCATTTCCATATCCTCAGATACATCGCCAGCTTCGTTGACCAGGCGACGATGTATCTGGCCTGGTCCCCTGCTTGTTGTGTTCAAAAAGAATGAAACTCCTGGATACGGAGTGCGAAACACACACACACACCAGTCTGACTTCTTAAGACTTTTTAAGGCAATTCATCCCGGTGGGTTTTTGACCAAACAGTCCTTGTGGAGAAAACGACGGAACACTGTGGCGTGTCACCAGGATGCCGGGAAGGTTCAGCTCGGACGAGGGTGCTTGGGGTCTGAAGCAACTTATATTCAATGTAACTCCTTTGGATTTTCTTGGAGGTTCCCTGAAGCGTTATGTTGGCATTCAAGTTGACAGCTGTGCATGCTGTGCTGTTGACTAGCTTCTTGGTGTGCTCAGTTGCAACACCCCCGCCCTTTCTTAGGTCCTGGTCTGTTTGAACTTCCAATTATTCCTGCCGATAGCTTCACTTTGGCCTTATAATCTGCATTTGTTGTTAACCCATGTTAATCCTGAAACATATTGCTAACATTGCTCCGGATTAAAACGTGAATCATAAACACCATTGAAGTGGTTCCCGATTGGATTGAGGTTCTTTGCGCCTCAACGCCTGTGCTGCTGGCTGACCCTCGAGGTCGCTGGCCCCGGCACTGGCCTGGCAGTGTGCAGGACAGATCTGCAGCCTGGGAACAGTCTTTTACGAAAGCCAGCCTTCGTAGAAGGCGCTAGCGGAGTTGTGTCTGGCGAACGAAGTGAGTAGTTAGGGGGTTTGGGGGGGTGGCCCGGGAAAGGTGCACGTAAACTCGGCACATGCTGGGGGAGGAGGGTGCTTCGAGGGAAGGTTTTTTGAGGTTGTGTTGGAGGTGATTTTTGAGGGGTGGTGATGCAAGAAATGCCAAATGCATCATTTGCATCATCTGAATGGAAAGGTGTAGTTGGCACCTTGCAAGGTATAGAGACCCAGGGTGGCTATAGTGCAGCTACCAGGTATAGTACTTCAAGTTCCCTTTCCGTCAACCGCTCGAGAACCTCTACACACGCACAGCAATCCACAGCTTTGAGGTCTCATTCGTGCTTTGAACTTGTATAGGTGTGTAAGAGGTATAGCAACATAGTATTTATACGGACCCAGGGTAGCTACAATTCGGAACAGGTATGGCGCGCATGAGGCTTCAAAGCTGTGGTTTTCAAGCTACATTCAAGGTGGCCTGAGACCAGGGTTTGCTGCCCTAAAACACTCTGTTCAGGCCACCTGGAAAATAAAGGTGTAGTTGGCACCTTGCCAGGTATAGAGACCCAGGGTAGCTATAGTGCAGCTACCAGGTATAGTACTTCAAGTTCCCTTTCCGTCAACCGCTCGATAACCTCTACACACGCACAGCAATCCACAGGTGTGTAAGAGGTATAGCACAAAAGCATGCTAATGACGTAAAGAGTCGAACATGTCGGAAGAACGAGGTACTGGAGGTCCTCGCATGGCTAGGATCTCTGACGTCATCAGAAGTCGCTAGACTGACCAAGCACAGGTCAAAAAAAACGTTAAAGTCCTTTGTTGTACATGACTCTCCAGCACGATGTAAATTCATGTCTTCGTCGCCAGTGGTTGGCGAAGTCAGCATAATCGGCGTTGACAGAGGAAACGAGATAGCCTGTCACAGAGAAGGACAGACGGCCTTCAACTGGTCCCAAGAGTTTGTCGTAGGCGATGTGAGAAACATGACGGAAAGGGTGTCTAGGCTAGGCTAGTCGGTGGCCAAGCGACGTAAAGCTTTAAAAGAGAAGTAGTTGTGCAGAGGTTACGCGGTGGTGTGGGCCTACTTGGCTGGACGCATGCGGCATGGTGATCGCATGGCAAGGGGTTTGTGGGGCTCGAAACGCTACTGTTTCGAGCCCCACAAATCGGGGAACTTGATTGATCTGTTCTAAAACGCCGATCATTGGATAATCCCTACTGGTTCTGTACCTGTCGGCCCTCCTTCTCCAGACTTGTAAAAATTCATAGCGCACGAAGTGTACTTGGGTGGACGCATGCGGCCTGGTGCTCGCATGGCAAGGGGCTTGTGGGGCTCGAAACGCAGGGGTTTCGAGCCCCACAAATTGAGGAACTTGGTTGTAGCGGTTTTTGTCCATGGCGATACTGCCTCTTCTCTGCTTGCTTCGACGCGCAGTTGTCGAAAAGGGGAAGCGCTGGCTTTCGTTTTGCAGCTTCTCAGGTAGATGTCAATATATGCATTGCATGTTTAATTTGTTTTATTCTGTTTTACATCTGTATCTATAAATTGAAATAGACCCTGCAGATCCCTGCAGCTGGAAGAGAGATGAAGCGGTTCCATCTGAGTGAACTGCAGGGTTCATGCAGAGTGCACTCGTGTGCACTCTGACTTTACGGTTGGCACAGCAGGGATTTGAGCCTACGATCTATATTTTACTTTCAGACCGGCAAGGATGGACTGCCCTGAAGTATATCTAGCTGACGGTTGAAGCATGAATTGGGCTGGGGAGAACGGGCCTCACACCCAAAGTGCACCCGATGTTCAAGTCTTGTCCGGACCTTTGAGCATCCCTGATTCGACGTCTGTCGAAAGGATGGAAGCCTGAAGAAACCACACTCTGTTTATAGATCCAACTACAATGATCTAACTACAGAACCTTGCAAACTTCACCCCTACGACGCTTGGGGCAGACGTTTGTTTCGCACCATTGCCATGCGACACCCAGACACCCGCCCTCCGGTGCTCGGACGAAGAAGGACACGGGGGAGGAACCCAAGGAACCCAAGGCGCTGGCCGAGAGTCCAAGGCGTCAAGGACGATGAACACCAGTTTGTGGTGAGGGACGGTGATGGAGGAGAAGATAGGAATAATTAGTATATATCAGTATTGAATAATTAGGAATGGCATTGGAAATGATCCTTTGACATGTCGTTGAACCTTTGAATAAGTTTGTTGTGGTGGTGGTTGGGACTTCCTCAACCCAGATGATCACCATTTTCTATCCACTCAGACGAGATCTCCGATGGTGTCAACTTGTGGGCTGGAACTGACGGAGCCTGACCATGACCTGGCAAGGACGTGAAGTCCCAAGATCAACCCGTAGCCTTCCGGTCGAGCCTTCCGTCACAAATCCTTTGACTTGGCATTGTAATCGAAAAAAGAAAAGCTGAGTAACACCAGGGTTCTTAGATGTTCTTAGGTAAAACACACGTTAAACTCCATGGTGGGCTGACCTCTCCAGCAGCCCTAGACCTACCCGCGCCGGGACGATGACGGCGCAAGGCACCGTTCCATTGGCATTTGGAGGTCCCTTGTGACGAAGGCCAGGTGAAAAGACACTGCGACCGGTTTTAGATAAACCGGTGGCTTCATTAGATATATAGACCGATAGAATCTTCTGGGTAGACCTGGGAACCATGCAACATGCTTGCCAAGCTGGTTTTTCGATGAACACGCAGAAGTTCTGCATTGGATCCATGGGCCGTTTTCGTTTTGCCGGACAGTTTTGGTGCCCGGACATACCGGTACGGTTACTAGAATCTGATAGAAACACCATGATTTTGGACTAGTTTGAGTAGCTCGAGTAGTTTCGCAGAATGCCGCTGTGATCTGACCATTTTCTTGGGGCCGAAGTCATCATCCCACCATTTCGCTCGGGAGCTTCGAAACAGATCCACCAGCTGGGTGAGGATCAGTGAGGATGATCCACCTGAAAACCTGTACCTTGATCATTGATCAATACAGAGTATGGGCATGTATGGGCCAAGGCATATGCCTCATAGATTGAATTCAACACCCCCTTGAAGACGATTATTGGAGCCTGCCAAAAGGTTGGGCACAAGGTGTGTGGTTCGACCACACCATTCAAGACTGCTCTCGCCATCATGGAAATTGACCCGTGATTCAAATCTCTCCAGCTTCTCCAAATGGGCTTCAAGCCGCACTTTTTCACGGTGTCCATCAGTTCTCATCTGCTCCAGGGCAGCTGCTGTTGCTGCCAGCCTGGCTGCCATTGAATGCCACAGGCGCTGCTGGGCGCTATGCCCCTGTGCGGCAAGAGTGAGTGGTGCACCAGGCACATGAGGCATGAACTTTGGCATGGACTTCTGCTTTGGGCACTCGTTTGATGGCTTGTCTCCGGACCGGGACGACCGAGGTTTGACGGTTCGATGTTGGAAAAGAGATGAAAAGAGTTCGTGCCAAGGGTGATGTTCTAGCTGGTGCTCAGCAGGGTGCTAGGGAGCCGGAGATATCAGGGATATCCACCTTCACCATTAATTAGGGAGCCCTGTCAGGGCTACAGTGGCCTTCACAACTGTCCTGTGGCTTCTAGACATGGTGTCCGATGTGTATGTCACATGCACCTACTTCAGAGACAACATGTACATCTTTGGGTCATTGCTGATTGACATTTGGGTGATAGTGGATGCTTGGCATTCGTCCGCCGCTTTTCAGAGCTGGGAACGCTGCGATTCCGCTGTCCAGCGCCGAGTGGTGGTCGACCGTTGGCTTGAATCGCTTCAATTCATGACATGGTGAACTGAAGCCTGGCTTCAGGAGCTTCTTGCTGTACATGCAAGGAGCTAGAGGGATTCCCCAACCCCTTTTGCTACTTTTGATATTCATTCATCAAAAAAGTCTGGAACTCCAAATGTTCACAAAGAGTTGTATCCAAGCCAGAGATTGGTTCGAGGCTTTGCGGTGACGCCTGACGGTGATGCCGCTAGGATTCCCCAACCAGCTTAGAGCTCACCATGTCACGAAAAAGAAACAAGTGCTGTTTGATTTCTGATGCGGTCAAAAGCAATCCATAGGAGAGGAGGTCGTGACCAGCGGCCCAGCCGCTTCGTGCCCTTTCATTGTTGACGGAACGGGCCAAATAGAAATATGCTACTTCACCATGTTTCAATTGAAGGCCAAGGTAACGTGCAGCGTCCTTCTGATAGAAGCATGGTGGTTTCGTTGGAAAGCTTTAAGGGCCGTTGAGGCTCACAAAGCACAAGTTCACCAAGGGCAGTGCTCCGCAACCTGCGCCTCTGAAGAGGCACAGGAATAGAGCAAGGCCACTCTGACAGCAAAGGCGTTCGGAAGAGCTTTTGGTGCTTACCGCGAGGCTAGCGGCAACAGCGTCCTGGAGAATGCCACCATCGCCGGTCATCACTTGACAAACAGCTAGGGCCATTGGTTTCAGCAGCTCTTGACCTTCTGTGTACATCACGTTTTCTCTTCGCAGGGGAAGGTCTTTTGCCCCTTCTGTGCTTTCGTTTCGCAATCTTCTGCAAAAATCAGTGGTTCAAGCGGCAGGAACTTGGCAAGCCCAGGGAAGGCACCAATCGCCCGGAGGAACCTTCCGGTGAAAGTGAATGGTTCGGTGCGGTAACCAATCGCCTGGCCATGTGCTCAGCTTAATTAGATGACCTTTGTGCTGCAACTGGCTCAAGCTTGGATGTCCTCAGCAAGTTGGTCGATGGTTTTGGCGGACACTTTGGCTGACCGCAAAGGACTTGCTGCACCCTGTGCATACGGTGTGGCCCATGGTATTTAGCTGGTCCTTGGCGGTCGGGCAAAGAAAAACTTTCATTGAGTGCCCATAGTGGAGGCAGCTGGGGCGCACAAGCGGCAAATTCTGATCAATGGTCAACCGCCACTCGCAAACCAGTCGGAGCTGGTACATGGATGTGTTGGCCAAAGGTGTTGCCTTGCCACGGGCAGTCAATGGTCTCCTTGGGTGCTTGCAGTGGTTTGCCTTGCAGTGGGCCTGACAGCAGAAAGAAATATCACAAAGGACAAAACACATGAGACATACTGTCCCGTGTCTATTTTTGCTCAGGCTTGCCATGCGCCCCTCAGTTGGAAGAATGCCCCCAGTTCTGGAACTGTGGGCAGTCTTCAACTGTGTGGAACCAGTGTCGCAAATGCAGGCCACTTTGTGCTGGGACAAGATAGGATTGCACTAAGAAGCGGAAGTTTTGTTGTGAATATTGTAGAAACTTGACTAGCTTGCCGCAGACTTTGTACGCACCAACTGCCCGATTTGGGCGGGCTTTGAGGAACCTTCGGGCACAAAGTCTGCGATTCTGCGATCTCAAGAGCCTCATCAGCAAGCGTGCTTGCTGGAAGTTCCATTCTGGCGTTTGCGAGGGTCAGGCTTTGCTCTTGTGTCTCGTGGGTGGCAGGAAGTGCCAAGAAGCATCACAAGAAAGTGGTCGTACTCTTTGATGCTAAAGGCAGTGCTTGGTGCAGCAGCAAAAGGCCGTACATCTGCGCCGGGCCTACGAGGGGTGATCAGCAACATTTGCACAGCTTGATGTAAGTTGGTGAGACCGAGAGTGAATCATAAAATGTCAGAAACACTGTTTTTTGTTGCCAAAAGTGGCAGTCCCATGGATGGTATGGGATTTGAGAGTTTGAAAAGCCCGCCGCACAAAGTTCCCCCAAGTTACAAACTTGGACACTTCGAGGAGCAAATCGTTTTTGTCACCTTTTCATACCTCTTCATCAAAGCCGACTGAGTTAAGGGGAAAATAATATCCACACAGATTTGTAGCCGACCAGTTGCAACCCGTCCATACCGCTGTTCCAAGGCTTTGACGGCGACCACCACCACCGGTCGGCCTTTGGGCTGCCATTGGCCACGACCCTCCCTGGAAGCCGAGGGCGGACCACCCCACGCGCCGAATGCGGAGCTGTGAAAACGTGCGGAATCGGCTCTGCCAAGCGCCTTTCGAAGAAGCGATGACCGTCGTATATGGTGGGTAAGAATGTTGCAAGCATCAAGAAAAGTTATATGTATTAATTCGAAGTCGCTAAAGTCAGTGTATTGTAAGATATTATGATATATATATATATATATACGATAGGGTATTTTTCTCAGGATGCCATCGGTGTATATACTGTATACTGTATATATATATATATGTATCAGTGCCAGACCATCCATCGGTTGTGGTTGCCGGTCGACCGGAGGCTGAGGCGTTGAAAGAGAAGGCTCGTCAGAGCGTCCTGGCGTCCGTGGAAAAGTGCCCTGGCTTCAGGAAACTAGCAATCCCAAACAATCCATGGGACTGGAATATTTACCTCTATACATGGATGGGGCGGTTTTATGGTTTTGAAACATACATATATACTGTATATACTATTCCATATTATATGGATTGTTGGGGTACGTATCTCCACTTTCAGACCGATCAATGTTGGTAAATGTATGTTATTCCAGTCACATGGAGTGTTTGGCAAGGCTCATCATTCCTGTTGTGGAGCCTCGTGGAATCCCACCATACCAGGCAGCCACTGGTCACGGTACCACATGTTCGAAGGAACCAGAGATTCGTTTGGTTTGTGTTTTTGTTCTTCGGAACCCTGGTTACGTTTTTTTTGTCCAGCTATAGTTGTGTGGCAACTGGATCCCGTGGGAGTGGTTCCAAACATAGATAGCCTTCCAAGTGTACAACCAATAGTTATATGACAACTGGCACTGACCCCTCTATTATTCCCAACATTTCATTGGTCCCAAACACAACATTGTTCGAACTAGAGGAGTTCCAGGTTCTTTAAGTGGAGTCTTACTGGTAGAACCTATGGTAGAACCTTATATGGGTTGCCAAACCTGTCGGATTTCAGTGCCTCATGTTGGTAAAATAACTTTCACCGAAGTTTTCTCCTCCCTCTTTCCCCGGGTAGAGATCCGGGGACCGAGAGAATTGCAAGAGGATGGGCACAATGGAGCTCAAAGTGCCGGGGTCTCCTAGCCCTGAACCACCTGGAAAGTCTTTTGCATGCTTTAAAGGCAAAAGTCGCATGACATTTTGTGAGGTCCCCTCTCAGGAACGGCCCGACTCAACCATGCTAGGGATGGAATGCATTGGCGCTCATGGAAGGTCACCCGCTTTGAAAGGATTTTCTTCGCCATCCTTGAAGACCAAGGACGCACTGCTTGGAACTACCACTTGGAACAGAGGAGTATTTCAGACTCCCAGCTGCTAAGGGCACCCAATCCATGCCAACCCGCGAAATCCATAGACATCCCTGTAGGCTCTAGGGCCTATCCCCTGCACATCTCCCAGTTCATTAGTTCATTGATCAAGTAGAAGAAGCATCTAAAACACTAATGCGCAAGCCTTGTGTGCTTCCAGCGTGACAAAACACTTGTGCTTCTGACTCTTCTAATTAACATTGCGTGCCTTTCTTAGTATGTTATATCATGGTAAAACCATCCGTACATGATAATATCATATAATATCAAGGTTTCTTCTAATTATCATGGTATGCATCGCGTTTTGCGTTTCATGACCTTCACCGAACGATAAGGTGGGCATTGGGCAACGATAAGGGTGCAGCGAAGGCCGTCTGGCACCCAGCGCTTGCGGGAAGAAGAACCGCAGAGAGAGAGGGCCAGCTTGAACTTGATTGGTAGGTGACAGGTTCTTTTCTTGGGAAAACACATCTTGCAGGTGTTTTTGTTGGGAAACATCAACCATCCTAGAGCATTCAGCGTCGCCAAAACCACTGGATCGGGCATGATTGGGCTATACTAACTATACTTGTGAGCACAGACTGTGCGGAGCAGTTTCCTACATGACTGCCAACTTTTTGCATTGATGATCATTACCTTCCCAAATGAACATTCACATAGGACCTGAAGGGGAGAGCTGGACTCGACAGCTTTGAACATGTTCTAAATTGCCAGAGCAGTTAGCTGGGGGTCCATGTTAGTGTACGGACCCCCACTGGCACCTCCACGTATTTGCGTTTCTGGTGCCCCCACCGGGCTAGAACGTCCTCCTTGCACTCCCTTCCGTGACACATGTTTTCAATGAAAGAGACTGGAATTCCTGTGTGTTCCTTTCGCACCAATGCCATGTTGGGTCGGAGATGGGTATCTCCATATCTTAGATCTGCGCAACGTGCGCATGGGTATGTCAGACTTCTCACCCCCCGCGTGGCGCTGGGCACTTCCAAGGCTTTGGGCGCTTGGTCTCAGTTCACCAAGAAAGCCAAGTCAGCGGACAGGCAGCGACAGGCGACAGGGTCGACCGGGACCGGTGTGGCGGAGGTTTCCCCTCGACCGACCAAAACATCGGTCGGTCTAGAGCTTCGGTCAAAACCCAAGCTAGTAACCTGCACGACTTATCCCAAATAGTATAAACTATTTTCATGTAACAATGTTTTGGTTACCTGTTACTAAATCTAATTACCTTGATAGTCTAGTAACATATAGTAACCTGCTTGATGTCTTGTGATGCATATCTTTTTGCAAACTGAAGATTCCTATCACAGGGTGTTCTGGCAGGAGCGAAGGCACCCTGATTGATAGATGGGAAAAGGTGTTCAGACACGCTCAACTTGATCAAAGCTGGTTTTGTATAGATTGCCTTTTAGTATTGGTTGGTTGATTCTATTCAGAAGATACGCCCAGATGAACAACCAATATATGGCATCAAATCGACCCCTCTATTTTCCCAAAAGGTCATTTATATGGTTCCAACCACCAAAACCGTAGTGGCAACAGGAGTTCTTGGTTCCTTAAGTGGCAACATGGATCTTGATGTGACATCTGATTTCGATGCAATGGTCTAGGATGACCCCCCCTGCCTTCTGCACAGACAGACGTTGGACTGGCCGGTCCAACTTCAGGCAGTACGAGCCTCGCTCATGGCGGCCTTCATGAGCAAAGAGAAGGTGTGCCCGGCGCGTGTGGGCTTCCCAGACACTTCGACCCCTGAAATCCCCCATTGGCCCAATGCAGGTAAATATACCATTCATGGATTGGGTTTGGACACCCCGGTCATTGAACTCCCTGAGTTCCCATGTCGAATATCTCACAACCCGCATAAGCTACGGATCAGTGGCAATGCTTCTCCTCGCAAGGTGTTTTGAACTGTGCTTCTACCGTGGCACTCCATGATTTGCATATATACTTTCCTACAGGGTGGTTGTGATGGTCAATCATGGTCAATGTCGGCATATGTTCCACACAGAGTGTTTGGGTTATGTCCGGTTATGTTATGTGGGAACATGTGGGAACGTCTAAAATTTCGCATGTGTGGTACATCTCTGAACGTTCGAGCAAAAGACAGACCACAAAATTAGAGTTATTTTAGTCAAGAGAAGCGCTGAGATCTCCTGTGTGGCAGGCAGCTGTCATGAACACCTTCAAGAATTGGCAGACGCTGACCAGAAGCCACGAAGTTGCAACTGGATTTCCGTGCTTCTGCCTCACTGGTCGCAGTCGGATCATCGTGAATCGTGGCCGCGGTTTTTGCTAAAGAGACCCCCACAGCCATTTAATGACCTATGGGAAAAGTCTGTTCAAAGTAGATGAAGTTGATTGTTAATCATATCATATCATGAATGTATGTATATAAGTACATTAGTAAAGTAAAGTAAAGTATGTATGTATGTATGTATGTAATTATGTATGTATGTATGGTAATGTATGGAAATGTATCGTAATTTTGTAATAAAGTACTATAATGTATCGTAATGTATTGTACGGTATTTTTCGTGTGTTATTTATGTATGTAATGTTATGTTATGTTATGTGGTGTTCTGTTATTTTATGGTATGTTATGTATGTAATGTAATTTAATGTAGTCTAATGAAATGTAATGTAAGGTAAGGTAATGAAATATCTGTTTGTCTGTCTGTCTGTCTGTCTGTCGGTAGGTAGGTAGGTAGGTAGGTAGGTAGCAATATGTATGTATGTATTGTATTGTATGTAATGTAATGTAATGCTTATGTATTGTATGCATGTAATGTGTGTATGCATGTATGAATGTAATGTAATGTAATGTAATTTAATTTAGTTTAATGTAATGGTATGTAATGGAATGTATTGGTATGTATTGGTATGTATGTGTGGATGTATGTATGTATGTAATGTAATGTAATGTAATGTAATGTAATGTAATGTAATGTAAT